CCGTATGTCGTATACCTTAGCTGCTACTGAGCATTTACAATAGCAACAAAATGCCTTGGTTGGATCAGCTGGCATTTTCCGGAGCCAGTCTTTAAACTCACTGTTTTCCAACCAAGCATCGCGAAATAATTGTTTGTAAATGACTTTCGGCATTTTGGCACGTACGCTTCGATTCAATTTTATTTCACAATTAATTATTAGAGATCAGCCAATTTGGCTTTTGGCTAACACAGGGTCTGAGGACTGAGGGCAGCAAAAGGGACTGAGGGCAGCAAAAGGGACTGAGGGCATAAAAGTAAAAGCCAAATAGCAAAGCTTTCTTTCTTTTCGCACTTGTTGGGAAACACGGTTAACTCAGCGTTGCCAGATAACTAAACACATTTAAGAAAAACAAACTTTGTTTTAAAATGTCGGCATAAGCACATTGTGAACAGTTGTAATATATTGCCAACAATTAAAATTAAGCTACATTGGTTTGTAATGGAGATTACAGCTACTGATTGAGCATATGTCTCTTGATATATCTTTGGGCATTTGCCGATTTGTTACGTTAGATTTTGAAATTAATTAACAATTAAACGGGAGTAATGTTTAAAAATTACATGAACAATTTGAATGACTTTCGGTGGGAGTGGTTCCATCCTTGTTGCAAAAGTCACACTTAATGATAGCCGCAGATGAATTAGCAATCGCCGGCTCCGATACACAAGTCCTTTTCTTGGAAAAGTTCGGCATTGGTTGATCAGTTACACGCTTTTCATCAGTGCCGTTGGTATTCACATTTGCTATGTCGTCCTGATATTCTTTAAGACGACGGTTGTATTCGCTCCTCGCCTTAGCCGCCTTCTTCTTCCACAAAGACTTTTTCTCATCGGACATCTGACGCCATATTTTGCCACCTAGGGATGCTACCTCAGTCGCCTTATAGTTAGGGAATTTTTTTTTATTCTTGCTCGCCCGCAAGTACTCATCCAGATCAAAAAGGAACCCATTGGTTTTTTTGGGGAGGTCCACACCGAGAAGCCATTGCTTATCTAGGTAAAAAAAAAAAACAAAAATATTCACATTTCAGAAATTTTTTTTATGCCGTTTGAAAACTTACTTCAAAAAATTTAGATCGTTAATAAAATAAAATTCGGTATACTTTTTCGTTGTGACCTCAAAAAGTGTAAAACTGTCGTGTTGACTGAATATTTTATGAGGCTCTCTAAACTACGCAAAATCAGTTGGATGAAATGGACTACTAGATTGAAAAATTTTTTAGATTTCGCAGATTACTTGATTTAATCTTTATTCTTTATTATCCTTATGTTTCGATAAACTCTCAAGGATTTTTCGGCATTAAAGTTTGTTTAAAAAAGTTTTTCGCTTAAATCTGGAGGTAACGTTTTAAACAATTTTCGTGCTCCTGAAGCAATGACTTATTCAAAAAAATAAAAATATCATAAAATTTACTATTCTCAAAGAGAGATAAGCAAGCGAAAACTATTTACCAAATCATCAAAAACCTTAAGGTATCAAAAAACTATCATAAACCTGCCTAAAATTGAATTTTAGGTATTATTTTTTTTCAAATTTATTTTTTGAATTTGAATTTTTTAATATTTTTTTTTAAATTTTTTGGATATTGAAATAATAAATGAAATGACCTTTAAATATGTAAAAATTTCTTGAACTTTATACACGATTATTTTACATGAAGCGAATTGACAAAAGTGCGTCATGGTCACTCTGAAATCAATCGAAAAGTGAGTCAGGCGGTTCTCGTGCGGTTTCCAGTATTTGATTTATCTCGTTTTTTATTAAAAGTCGCCAAAACACAGAAGAAAATGTCGACCCTGGCCAGTGTTGCCAGGTATTGAGCTCCCAAAAAGGCTAGATTTTGGGTAAAAATAGGCTAGAATAGGCTAAAATTCAGAAAAATATGCTGAAAAAAAAGCTATACATTAAAATCCAATATTATCCACCAAATTAAAGTAGTTTTTATGTTTTTATTATATTAAACATGTTAATAAACTTTCAATGTCTTCGTTCTCCTCGTCATTCAAATATTTGTCTTTTTTTTTAATTTGGGCAAGATAATTTTGTGGCAACGAATAGGTATGACAGCATTCATTGTTTCTTCGTAACCTATATATGTAACATTGAAATATATTATTATTAAAATATAAATAAGTTTGACACAATTTAAAAACAAACCTTATGCTCAATATTGCATTCAAGCTTTTTAATGCCATTTTATTGCGCAATTTTGATTTCACTATGTTCATTTGGCTGAACACTCGTTCCACCTCTGCATTGGACCATGGCAGGGAAAACAACTGGATGGCAAATAATGCAAGCGCCTTAAAGGGGTTGTTGTTTCCTGCGTCTCTATACGTTAGCACCTCTGCCCAAAATTGCATCGATTCTTCTGTTTTTTCCCATCTTATCAGGTGAATTTTGTCCAATTGTGATTTTAGTTCATCGATATCAGTTATTTTAAAATATTCAAAAATATTTATAAAATCCAATATATTTTTGTGGGGTCGCAATATATTATCCACTGCAAATATATTCACCTTCTTTAAAATATTGAAGTTGTCGGGAAGTCTAAAATGGAAAAGTGTATTATAAATATAGTGATAATCTAATCAACTGCAGCTTATTCGTACCTTTCACGGAGTTGCATTATTAATCGTTGCACAAAATTGACGCAAACCTGCCTTATTTCCGGTTCTTGCTCTTTGCATTCCAAAGATTTTATCTTTCGTTCAAAAGCATATCCCAAGTACAAGTCTTGTACTGTAATATGCGTAAAATCATCTTTAAAGATGTCAATGTTTATTTCCGGAGGTATGATTTTTCTTTTAGTGAATTAATGCTTGTCATAAGCTCATTTAATAACTTAGAAGATTCCGGCCGTTCACTTTGAAACAATTTGTTGAGTTTTTGCATATCATTTAAAATCGGTCGCAAAAACAATAAATACAACAAATTAGTTTCATCGTTATATAAATCATGCAAAATTTTTGCCTTGTGGCATTTTTCGGAACTGGCAGCTAAGGCAAAGTGCAATTTGAGCTCCGACCACTGATGTGAAATCCTAGTTACTGCAGGTTCTATTGACAGCCATCTGGTATCGCAAACTCTGGGTATTTTTAATGGAGTCTAAAATAAATTAAAGAGTCAGTGAGTCAAACGAATAAAGTTAATACGTCAGGCAATACATGTATAAGCAAATATTAACAATTAATCTACTAACCAGCTTTTAGGACGAGTACAGAAATTAGACGTTAGATTTTTGTTATGTTAGACAGTTTGTTGGACGAACACGATTTACTGTTTACTTCACATGTAAATATATACCTGATCATTATTTATACATTCGTATATTTTTTGTAGTTCATTTGGCGTTGCGAACTTTTCGCAAACCAGGAATAGGTATCCGCCACAAGAAATTCCAAAGCCTCTGGCATACTACCTTTGCACGCCTGATTTACAACCAATTGTATAGAGTGACATACACACTTAATTAATATTAAATTAGGCACACTTTTTTTAATTCAGTGTATACGCTCCTTTTGGATCCTGTCATCACATTGGCGTTGTCGGTTCCAAGCCCAATCATATTTGAAATGTTTAAATTTTTTTCTGTAACTCTAGCTTCAAATGGTCTGCTATGGAAATAGCATCTCCGGACTCGATACTAACTAAACTCAGGAAAGTAGACACCATACTTTGCTTTCTTACACTAAAGTAATTTATAACGATTCCTTAAAAGTTGTAAAATGCACATACATAGAACGAAGGCAATTAATATATGAACATACATACAAATATATCTTAGCAAAATAATGTTATATTTACCAATCAATTTCGTCACACTGATGTCGGTTGACTCATCCAGAAGCAAACTATATTTCGATGATCCAATATCCATCAATAAGTCTTCCATGAAGTGCACTGCCAAAACATTGTTTATAATCTGCGTGCACTTCGTCCGTCCAAGCTGTATTTGTGCGGCTGCACTGCACGCTTTAAATTGTTTCACACACAATTTCGACAAGTGGTCCACAGGTGATATTGCCGTGTGCTCAGCCACATACAAACATAGTGCAGCTTCCTGCTCCTCTGTCTTCCAGCATTTGGAAGGAAAACTTAGTTTTTGTGTTTGATTAATTGCGCCCATTGTCGAAATATGTTTTTTGGACACCGCATGTTGCCGTATGTCGTATACCTTAGCTGCTACTGAGCATTTACAATAGCAACAAAATGCCTTGGTTGGATCAGCTGGCATTTTCCGGAGCCAGTCTTTAAACTCACTGTTTTCCAACCAAGCATCGCGAAATAATTGTTTGTAAATGACTTTCGGCATTTTGGCACGTACGCTTCGATTCAATTTTATTTCACAATTAATTATTAGAGATCAGCCAATTTGGCTTTTGGCTAACACAGGGTCTGAGGACTGAGGGCAGCAAAAGGGACTGAGGGCAGCAAAAGGGACTGAGGGCATAAAAGTAAAAGCCAAATAGCAAAGCTTTCTTTCTTTTCGCACTTGTTGGGAAACACGGTTAACTCAGCGTTGCCAGATAACTAAACACATTTAAGAAAAACAAACTTTGTTTTAAAATGTCGGCATAAGCACATTGTGAACAGTTGTAATATATTGCCAACAATTAAAATTAAGCTACATTGGTTTGTAATGGAGATTACAGCTACTGATTGAGCATATGTCTCTTGATATATCTTTGGGCATTTGCCGATTTGTTACGTTAGATTTTGAAATTAATTAACAATTAAACGGGAGTAATGTTTAAAAATTACATGAACAATTTGAATGACTTTCGGTGGGAGTGGTTCCATCCTTGTTGCAAAAGTCACACTTAATGATAGCCGCAGATGAATTAGCAATCGCCGGCTCCGATACACAAGTCCTTTTCTTGGAAAAGTTCGGCATTGGTTGATCAGTTACACGCTTTTCATCAGTGCCGTTGGTATTCACATTTGCTATGTCGTCCTGATATTCTTTAAGACGACGGTTGTATTCGCTCCTCGCCTTAGCCGCCTTCTTCTTCCACAAAGACTTTTTCTCATCGGACATCTGACGCCATATTTTGCCACCTAGGGATGCTACCTCAGTCGCCTTATAGTTAGGGAATTTTTTTTTTATTCTTGCTCGCCCGCAAGTACTCATCCAGATCAAAAAGGAACCCATTGGTTTTTTTGGGGGAGGTCCACACCGAGAAGCCATTGCTTATCTAGGTAAAAAAAAAAAACAAAAATATTCACATTTCAGAAATTTTTTTTTATGCCGTTTGAAAACTTACTTCAAAAAATTTAGATCGTTAATAAAATAAAATTCGGTATACTTTTTCGTTGTGACCTCAAAAAGTGTAAAACTGTCGTGTTGACTGAATATTTTATGAGGCTCTCTAAACTACGCAAAATCAGTTGGATGAAATGGACTACTAGATTGAAAAATTTTTTAGATTTCGCAGATTACTTGATTTAATCTTTATTCTTTATTATCCTTATGTTTCGATAAACTCTCAAGGATTTTTCGGCATTAAAGTTTGTTTAAAAAAGTTTTTCGCTTAAATCTGGAGGTAACGTTTTAAACAATTTTCGTGCTCCTGAAGCAATGACTTATTCAAAAAAATAAAAATATCATAAAATTTACTATTCTCAAAGAGAGATAAGCAAGCGAAAACTATTTACCAAATCATCAAAAACCTTAAGGTATCAAAAAACTATCATAAACCTGCCTAAAATTGAATTTTAGGTATTATTTTTTTTCAAATTTATTTTTTGAATTTGAATTTTTTAATATTTTTTTTTAAATTTTTTGGATATTGAAATAATAAATGAAATGACCTTTAAATATGTAAAAATTTCTTGAACTTTATACACGATTATTTTACATGAAGCGAATTGACAAAAGTGCGTCATGGTCACTCTGAAATCAATCGAAAAGTGAGTCAGGCGGTTCTCGTGCGGTTTCCAGTATTTGATTTATCTCGTTTTTTATTAAAAGTCGCCAAAACACAGAAGAAAATGTCGACCCTGGCCAGTGTTGCCAGGTATTGAGCTCCCAAAAGGCTAGATTTTGGGTAAAAATAGGCTAGAATAGGCTAAAATTCAGAAAAATATGCTGAAAAAAAAGCTATACATTAAAATCCAATATTATCCACCAAATTAAAGTAGTTTTTATGTTTTTATTATATTAAACATGTTAATAAACTTTCAATGTCTTCGTTCTCCTCGTCATTCAAATATTTGTCTTTTTTTTTAATTTGGGCAAGATAATTTTGTGGCAACGAATAGGTATGACAGCATTCATTGTTTCTTCGTAACCTATATATGTAACATTGAAATATATTATTATTAAAATATAAATAAGTTTGACACAATTTAAAAACAAACCTTATGCTCAATATTGCATTCAAGCTTTTTAATGCCATTTTATTGCGCAATTTTGATTTCACTATGTTCATTTGGCTGAACACTCGTTCCACCTCTGCATTGGACCATGGCAGGGAAAACAACTGGATGGCAAATAATGCAAGCGCCTTAAAGGGGTTGTTGTTTCCTGCGTCTCTATACGCTAGCACCTCTGCCCAAAATTGCATCGATTCTTCTGTTTTTTCCCATCTTATCAGGTGAATTTTGTCCAATTGTGATTTTAGTTCATCGATATCAGTTATTTTAAAATATTCAAAAATATTTATAAAATCCAATATATTTTTGTGGGGTCGCAATATATTATCCACTGCAAATATATTCACCTTCTTTAAAATATTGAAGTTGTCGGGAAGTCTAAAATGGAAAAGTGTATTATAAATATAGTGATAATCTAATCAACTGCAGCTTATTCGTACCTTTCATGGAGTTGCATTATTAATCGTTGCACAAAATTGACGCAAACCTGCCTTATTTCCGGTTCTTGCTCTTTGCATTCCAAAGATTTTATCTTTCGTTCAAAAGCATATCCCAAGTACAAGTCTTGTACTGTAATATGCGTAAAATCATCTTTAAAGATGTCAATGTTTATTTCCGGAGGTATGATTTTTTCTTTTAGTGAATTAATGCTTGTCATAAGCTCATTTAATAACTTAGAAGATTCCGGCCGTTCACTTTGAAACAATTTGTTGAGTTTTTGCATATCATTTAAAATCGGTCGCAAAAACAATAAATACAACAAATTAGTTTCATCGTTATATAAATCATGCAAAATTTTTGCCTTGTGGCATTTTTCGGAACTGGCAGCTAAGGCAAAGTGCAATTTGAGCTCCGACCACTGATGTGAAATCCTAGTTACTGCAGGTTCTATTGACAGCCATCTGGTATCGCAAACTCTGGGTATTTTTAATGGAGTCTAAAATAAATTAAAGAGTCAGTGAGTCAAACGAATAAAGTTAATACGTCAGGCAATACATGTATAAGCAAATATTAACAATTAATCTACTAACCAGCTTTTAGGACGAGTACAGAAATTAGACGTTAGATTTTTGTTATGTTAGACAGTTTGTTGGACGAACACGATTTACTGTTTACTTCACATGTAAATATATACCTGATCATTATTTATACATTCGTATATTTTTTTGTAGTTCATTTGGCGTTGCGAACTTTTCGCAAACCAGGAATAGGTATCCGCCACAAGAAATTCCAAAGCCTCTGGCATACTACCTTTGCACGCCTGATTTACAACCAATTGTATAGAGTGACATACACACTTAATTAATATTAAATTAGGCACACTTTTTTTTAATTCAGTGTATACGCTCCTTTTGGATCCTGTCATCACATTGGCGTTGTCGGTTCCAAGCCCAATCATATTTGAAATGTTTAAATTTTTTTTCTGTAACTCTAGCTTCAAATGGTCTGCTATGGAAATAGCATCTCCGGACTCGATACTAACTAAACTCAGGAAAGTAGACACCATACTTTGCTTTCTTACACTAAAGTAATTTATAACGATTCCTTAAAAGTTGTAAAATGCACATACTACATAGAACGAAGGCAATTAATATATGAACATACATACAAATATATCTTAGCAAAATAATGTTATATTTACCAATCAATTTCGTCACACTGATGTCGGTTGACTCATCCAGAAGCAAACTATATTTCGATGATCCAATATCCATCAATAAGTCTTCCATGAAGTGCACTGCCAAAACATTGTTTATAATCTGCGTGCACTTCGTCCGTCCAAGCTGTATTTGTGCGGCTGCACTGCACGCTTTAAATTGTTTCACACACAATTTCGACAAGTGGTCCACAGGTGATATTGCCGTGTGCTCAGCCACATACAAACATAGTGCAGCTTCCTGCTCCTCTGTCTTCCAGCATTTGGAAGGAAAACTTAGTTTTTGTGTTTGATTAATTGCGCCCATTGTCGAAATATGTTTTTTGGACACCGCATGTTGCCGTATGTCGTATACCTTAGCTGCTACTGAGCATTTACAATAGCAACAAAATGCCTTGGTTGGATCAGCTGGCATTTTCCGGAGCCAGTCTTTAAACTCACTGTTTTCCAACCAAGCATCGCGAAATAATTGTTTGTAAATGACTTTCGGCATTTTGGCACGTACGCTTCGATTCAATTTTATTTCACAATTAATTATTAGAGATCAGCCAATTTGGCTTTTGGCTAACACAGGGTCTGAGGACTGAGGGCAGCAAAAGGGACTGAGGGCAGCAAAAGGGACTGAGGGCATAAAAGTAAAAGCCAAATAGCAAAGCTTTCTTTCTTTTCGCACTTGTTGGGAAACACGGTTAACTCAGCGTTGCCAGATAACTAAACACATTTAAGAAAAACAAACTTTGTTTTAAAATGTCGGCATAAGCACATTGTGAACAGTTGTAATATATTGCCAACAATTAAAATTAAGCTACATTGGTTTGTAATGGAGATTACAGCTACTGATTGAGCATATGTCTCTTGATATATCTTTGGGCATTTGCCGATTTGTTACGTTAGATTTTGAAATTAATTAACAATTAAACGGGAGTAATGTTTAAAAATTACATGAACAATTTGAATGACTTTCGGTGGGAGTGGTTCCATCCTTGTTGCAAAAGTCACACTTAATGATAGCCGCAGATGAATTAGCAATTGCCGGCTCCGATACACAAGTCCTTTTCTTGGAAAAGTTCGGCATTGGTTGATCAGTTACACGCTTTTCATCAGTGCCGTTGGTATTCACATTTGCTATGTCGTCCTGATATTCTTTAAGACGACGGTTGTATTCGCTCCTCGCCTTAGCCGCCTTCTTCTTCCACAAAGACTTTTTCTCATCGGACATCTGACGCCATATTTTGCCACCTAGGGATGCTACCTCAGTCGCCTTATAGTTAGGGAATTTTTTTTTATCCTTGCTCGCCCGCAAGTACTCATCCAGATCAAAAAGGAACCCATTGGTTTTTTTGGGGGAGGTCCACACCGAGAAGCCATTGCTTATCTAGGTAAAAAAAAAAAACAAAAATATTCACATTTCAGAAATTTTTTTTATGCCGTTTGAAAACTTACTTCAAAAAATTTAGATCGTTAATAAAATAAAATTCGGTATACTTTTTCGTTGTGACCTCAAAAAGTGTAAAACTGTCGTGTTGACTGAATATTTTATGAGGCTCTCTAAACTACGCAAAATCAGTTGGATGAAATGGACTACTAGATTGAAAAATTTTTTAGATTTCGCAGATTACTTGATTTAATCTTTATTCTTTATTATCCTTATGTTTCGATAAACTCTCAAGGATTTTTCGGCATTAAAGTTTGTTTAAAAAAGTTTTTCGCTTAAATCTGGAGGTAACGTTTTAAACAATTTTCGTGCTCCTGAAGCAATGACTTATTCAAAAAATAAAAATATCATAATATTTACTATTCTCAAAGAGAGATAAGCAAGCGAAAACTATTTACCAAATCATCAAAAACCTTAAGGTATCAAAAAACTAGCATAAACCTGCCTAAAATTGAATTTTAGGTATTATTTTTTTCAAATTTATTTTTGAATTTGAATTTTTAATATTTTTTTTAAATTTTTTGGATATTGAAATAATAAATGAAATGACCTTTAAATATGTAAAAATTTCTTGAACTTTATACACGATTATTTTACATGAAGCGAATTGACAAAAGTGCGTCATGGTCACTCTGAAATCAATCGAAAAGTGAGTCAGGCGGTTCTCGTGCGGTTTCCAGTATTTGATTTATCTCGTTTTTTATTAAAAGTCGCCAAAACACAGAAGAAAATGTCGACCCTGGCCAGTGTTGCCAGGTATTGAGCTCCCAAAAAGGCTAGATTTTGGGTAAAAATAGGCTAGAATAGGCTAAAATTCAGAAAAATATGCTGAAAAAAAAGCTATACATTAAAATCCAATATTATCCACCAAATTAAAGTAGTTTTTATGTTTTTATTATATTAAACATGTTAATAAACTTTCAATGTCTTCGTTCTCCTCGTCATTCAAATATTTGTCTTTTTTTTAATTTGGGCAAGATAATTTTGTGGCAACGAATAGGTATGACAGCATTCATTGTTTCTTCGTAACCTATATATGTAACATTGAAATATATTATTATTAAAATATAAATAAGTTTGACACAATTTAAAAACAAACCTTATGCTCAATATTGCATTCAAGCTTTTTAATGCCATTTTATTGCGCAATTTTGATTTCACTATGTTCATTTGGCTGAACACTCGTTCCACCTCTGCATTGGACCATGGCAGGGAAAACAACTGGATGGCAAATAATGCAAGCGCCTTAAAGGGGTTGTTGTTTCCTGCGTCTCTATACGCTAGCACCTCTGCCCAAAATTGCATCGATTCTTCTGTTTTTTCCCATCTTATCAGGTGAATTTTGTCCAATTGTGATTTTAGTTCATCGATATCAGTTATTTTAAAATATTCAAAAATATTTATAAAATCCAATATATTTTTGTGGGGTCGCAATATATTATCCACTGCAAATATATTCACCTTCTTTAAAATATTGAAGTTGTCGGGAAGTCTAAAATGGAAAAGTGTATTATAAATATAGTGATAATCTAATCAACTGCAGCTTATTCGTACCTTTCACGGAGTTGCATTATTAATCGTTGCACAAAATTGACGCAAACCTGCCTTATTTCCGGTTCTTGCTCTTTGCATTCCAAAGATTTTATCTTTCGTTCAAAAGCATATCCCAAGTACAAGTCTTGTACTGTAATATGCGTAAAATCATCTTTAAAGATGTCAATGTTTATTTCCGGAGGTATGATTTTTTCTTTTAGTGAATTAATGCTTGTCATAAGCTCATTTAATAACTTAGAAGATTCCGGCCGTTCACTTTGAAACAATTTGTTGAGTTTTTGCATATCATTTAAAATCGGTCGCAAAAACAATAAATACAACAAATTAGTTTCATCGTTATATAAATCATGCAAAATTTTTGCCTTGTGGCATTTTTCGGAACTGGCAGCTAAGGCAAAGTGCAATTTGAGCTCCGACCACTGATGTGAAATCCTAGTTACTGCAGGTTCTATTGACAGCCATCTGGTATCGCAAACTCTGGGTATTTTTAATGGAGTCTAAAATAAATTAAAGAGTCAGTGAGTCAAACGAATAAAGTTAATACGTCAGGCAATACATGTATAAGCAAATATTAACAATTAATCTACTAACCAGCTTTTAGGACGAGTACAGAAATTAGACGTTAGATTTTTGTTATGTTAGACAGTTTGTTGGACGAACACGATTTACTGTTTACTTCACATGTAAATATATACCTGATCATTATTTATACATTCGTATATTTTTTGTAGTTCATTTGGCGTTGCGAACTTTTCGCAAACCAGGAATAGGTATCCGCCACAAGAAATTCCAAAGCCTCTGGCATACTACCTTTGCACGCCTGATTTACAACCAATTGTATAGAGTGACATACACACTTAATTAATATTAAATTAGGCACACTTTTTTTTAATTCAGTGTATACGCTCCTTTTGGATCCTGTCATCACATTGGCGTTGTCGGTTCCAAGCCCAATCATATTTGAAATGTTTAAATTTTTTTTCTGTAACTCTAGCTTCAAATGGTCTGCTATGGAAATAGCATCTCCGGACTCGATACTAACTAAACTCAGGAAAGTAGACACCATACTTTGCTTTCTTACACTAAAGTAATTTATAACGATTCCTTAAAAGTTGTAAAATGCACATACATAGAACGAAGGCAATTAATATATGAACATACATACAAATATATCTTAGCAAAATAATGTTATATTTACCAATCAATTTCGTCACACTGATGTCGGTTGACTCATCCAGAAGCAAACTATATTTCGATGATCCAATATCCATCAATAAGTCTTCCATGAAGTGCACTGCCAAAACATTGTTTATAATCTGCGTGCACTTCGTCCGTCCAAGCTGTATTTGTGCGGCTGCACTGCACGCTTTAAATTGTTTCACACACAATTTCGACAAGTGGTCCACAGGTGATATTGCCGTGTGCTCAGCCACATACAAACATAGTGCAGCTTCCTGCTCCTCTGTCTTCCAGCATTTGGAAGGAAAACTTAGTTTTTGTGTTTGATTAATTGCGCCCATTGTCGAAATATGTTTTTTGGACACCGCATGTTGCCGTATGTCGTATACCTTAGCTGCTACTGAGCATTTACAATAGCAACAAAATGCCTTGGTTGGATCAGCTGGCATTTTCCGGAGCCAGTCTTTAAACTCACTGTTTTCCAACCAAGCATCGCGAAATAATTGTTTGTAAATGACTTTCGGCATTTTGGCACGTACGCTTCGATTCAATTTTATTTCACAATTAATTATTAGAGATCACATAACATAATGCGACAACATATCGCACCATCCAAAAAATCTATCGATCAGAAAGCACAATCATATGAATAAAGTTCACGTAACAATCGGCAAAAAAGAACCATCAAAACATTTAACACCAAAAATAAAATTTTTCGTTGGTCACAAATACATTAAAAAAATATGCTAAATTATTTTTAAAAATAGGCTAGATTTATAGCTATAGGCTATTTACAAATTTTATAGGCTAGATCATTTTAAAATAGGCTAGATCTAGCCTGAAATAGGCTAAACTGGCAACACTGCAACCGTACACCGCAGTCTATTCGATTTTGTCGGCCATTAAAATTAGAATTTATAAGGAGAGTACGACCTTGATTAGAAAGGAAAGGAAAGTGAGTACATAAAAATCACATTTCGAATTTATATTTCGAATCCTGTGGAAAGTTGTTCTAGATGTATAGACAATTAAAGATGGGAGAGTCTTGAATGCATTGACAGGAACCAAATCCACACAAGCTTGTGCAACATGCGGAGCCACACCTTTAGATTTTCCTCTGAACAAAAATTTCAAGTAAGTAATGTTTATGTATTGGTGGCGCGCACGTGTGTGTGTTTTGTGTACTGTTCATGTATTTGCCTTTATATGTTATATATGTATATATGTATGTTGCCACTATCGCTTTGTGTTTGTGTATGTTATATTTTGTTATATTTGACCACCGAAAAATAACAGGACACGGATTTATTTTAATTGTTTTTAATTTTGTGTTTGTTTTTTAATTTAATACCCAATACCAGCCAAGAAGTGATGAGTTAGAGGAAACATCGAACATCGATGTTTGAAAACTTCGATGTTTCCCGAGCTTAAGAAAATATCAATACATCGACGATATGTATCGATACATTTTCGATGTTTTCCCCACCTCTAGTGTTCTTCCTCAAAGTATTTGCCGAAAGGTGATCTGCAGCATTTATTATTCGATCATTCTAGTAAGTTGCCTTCACATGTTCGACTGGCTACCGGTAGTCTCAGCCACATGTCACATTTGTTGCAATTTCGTTCGGAGCACACAATGCACGTGCTAAATTTTATTACAAACTTAAAATGTGTTTACAGGATATATAGCAATGCTCTTGTTCTTAAATCTTGTTTTATTTAGAACGAATAAACTTTTTACATTCATGCATATGTACATTCATATGTAGATTTATTTTTTTATACAATTTTTTTTTTTGATTTTGCCGTAAAATTGGCGCCAAAGTTTAGAACGCTAAAAATTTTTGTTGAGTAGAACTTTTAGCTTGTGAGCTAACAAATTCATTTCCTTTCGTGATTCCTCCTATAAATTGGAGAATTTTTTTCACGGCCCCAAGCATTTTTACTAAAGCAGTCCCAATAAACGTTAGCTAAGAAACTAGGTTTATTTTCTTTAATATGAATTAATATGATACTAGACTTAAGGTACATATATTATAAAAATTAAAAAAAAACAAGAAAGCAAAGCTAACTTCGGGCGGAGCCGAAGTTGATATACCCTTGCAGCTAAAACCGGATATATATCGCAAACATCATAATAAAACCAATTAATTACAATAAAAAATCTAAAAAAAAGTCGCAAGCTTCTATCTTCAAAAATACGAAAGTTGATATTTCTACCAAATACCATTTCCGATCGTTCAGTTATATGTCAGCTATAAGATATAGTCAACCGATCGTTATGAAATTTGGTAGATCGGATTAACTGACCAAAAATAGAATGTGTACCAAGTTCCAGCTTTCTATCATGAAAAACACGAAAGTTGGGTCATTTCCGATCAATCAGTTATATGGTAGCTATAGGATATAGTAGGCCGATCCCGGCCGTTCCGACTTATATACTGCGTGCAAAGGAAAGAAGGGTGTGTGCAAAGTTTCAAGACGATATCGTGTTATTTTTTTAAACTTTTATTCTCAACATATTCTTTAACATACTAAAAAAAATAGAATCCCTGTGAACGGCAGTACAAAGGATAAAGAGGGCTCATTACCATCAGTATAGGAAATTTGACCACTTTTTTTGCCACAAAAATCAGTTTTTGGAAGATAAATAATCGAAATAATTTTAACTGTATATCATTCACAATAGATCAATTTTTATTGTTGCATACTTGCCAGGACCTTGGCAGCTTATTGAAGCTTCTTTCGAATCCAGTCGGTTGGTTGAATTGCTAGTTGATATCCTTGAAAACTTAATGGATGAACATGGTACACCTTTTTTATCGGCGAAACTTATGTTAATCGATAATAGCTCAGGGAAATCCAATTTTCACGGACAGGAACCAAATCCACACAAGCTTGTGCAACATGCGGAGCCACACCTTCAGATTTTCCTCAGAACAAAAATTTCAAGTGTGCAAAATATGCTTATGCCATATGAGAGACCTGAATTATGGCTTAAGCCCACTTCACAGCTGGATTCGCGTTTTTGGGTTTATTTTGCATACTGGCTACAAATGTGAAATTCAGACGTGAAGGATTGTGGAGGAAAATGATAAAACAGAGGTTTCTGAACGCAAATACAAATTCTATGCCTATTTTTGAATCGTTTATCTTTACATGATTCGCGTTTTTGGGTTTATTTTGCATACTGGCTACAAATGTGAAATTCAGACGTGAAGGATTGTGGAGGAAAATGATAAAACAGAGGTTTCTCAACGCAAATACAAATTCTATGCCTATTTTTGAATCGTTTATCTTTACATGACCCAACGATGGGAACACTGCACGCCGTTTATTTTCCGATCCTCAAGAATGTTCATATATAACTGGAATCGATGTACAGATTAATTTAAATTTTAAAAAAATATTAAATTCGCTTTCATGTCAGCTTCCCATAGATGTGGAAACATTTTAAAACTTTTGTTTTAATACTGCTGGTGAATAACAGATCATCGATAAATATACTTATGACCGCAACGGGGCATAAAATTTCAAATCATGGAAGTGAGATAATGCAGAATGCTGTGCTTTCTTTGGGTTATTTTGTAGAGGAAGGAGCCGAATCAAAAAGTAAACTTTATAAATCCGACCGCCTACATCACGCCAGAGAGAGCAGTAGGATACGAACGGAAAACGAGGATCAAGAATTTTTGTAGGTGTCTATTGAAAACAGGTTACTTTAAATGTAAATGAGAAGTAAAGCAATTCTTTGGCTCCCGTTGAGGTGTACCCAAGGTAATTCATAAAAATATTTAATGGAGATGTACAACTAGAAGCACTGGTGCAAATAGACGCTACCCCCAAGGTATATTATAAAAATTAAAAAAAAAAAAAAACAAATCAGAACCAAAAGGAGAATGGACTGTGAGTTGTTAGCTGCTTGGAAGGCAGCAAGTAACTGATTTTGGCTGGCACAAAACCTCCTTATTGGGGCAAAACTAACACATGTTTAAAATTTGAGTGTGTGCGTAGCAGAGAAAAACAATGAGAGCAGAGAATTCACTGAGCGAAAAAAACTTATTTTTTTATTTCTTTTTTCGTTAATTCAAAAGTTGGAATGGGCACTAAAATTGAGTTTTTTATTTTAAGAAAAGCTTTGACAGCAACATTTCTTAACCCTTTATATGGCCTTGTTGCATATCTGCAACATACCGTTTAAATTCAATTATTTTTCAACCTGCGTTAAAAAACTGTCTAAAATCTTTTTGATGCAGTTCAGCAACTTTCGTTTTTTATATAACAAGTGTTGGTCAGTCAGAATTCTGTCCAATACTCAACAGGTGATTACTTTTCTCGCCAATTTGGTGAATGTGGTAATCTGAATTGGTTGTGCAGTTTCTCATCCAAAATATAAAAAATCAAAAAAAAATTTAATTATTGATTCAATTAATGGTTAAAAATAGGTAAATATTATATTATGTTGCATATTTTTGAGTTTTTGTGTTTTTTGCATTATAATACAAATAAATCAACAATTTCGCTTAGTTTAAAAAAATCGTTTTTTTTCGCTTATTTAAAAAAAAATTAAGAAAAACCCATCTTAAAAAAAAAAATAAAAAGAAGTGTATTTTTTATTTTTACTTATCTACCGAACAAAAAAAAAATGAAGAAAATCGGAGTTATTGCCTTATAAAGGGTTAAGGGGGACATCTGAGTAGAGTTTTGAAAAAATCGAAAATTTTTTTTTTCGCTTAAAAAATTCTTTTGGGTCTTAAAAATAACATATCAAAAGATAGAGTCTGGCCAAAGTGTCTAAGTGTCAAAATTTTCCATTCTGCGGCGATGCCTCACAGGTAAATCCCACAGTACTTAAAACTTTAAACGCGTTTTTCTCGAAACCACTTTTTTTGAGTTGGCCGAACACATAACTCGAACCACTCTAAACCTATCGATCTAAAATTTTGACAGTATACTCAGAATACCTATATCTATCGGCACACGTAGGATTTTTTTGCTTACTTTTTTTTTTATCAACAATTTTGTGACGTTTTTTGTTCGTGAAAATTGAAAATTTTGTTCAATCACTCACTCTTTTGCAAAAAATCAATATATCAAAAAAATTCTACGTGTGTCGATAGCCGTTGAGATACAGAAACTAACCAAACTTGATTTTTTGTTCTAGATCAAAAATTAGGGACGTTAGGTGTTCGGCCATGGACCCC